AGTGGCTCACACCTGTAATCCCAGCACTTTGGGAGGCCGAGGTGGGCGAATCACCTGAGGTCAGGAGTTCAAGACTAGCCTGACCAACATGGAGAAACCCCGTCTCTACTAAAAATACAAAATTAGCCTAGCGTGGTGGCACACGCCTGTAATCCCAGCTACTCAGGAGGCGGAGGCAGGAGAATTGCTTGAACCTGGGAGGTGGAGGTTGCAGTGAGCCAAGATTGCACCACTGCACTCCAGCCTGGGTGATGAGAGAGAAACTCCGTTTCAAAAAAAAAAAAAAAAAGAAGAAGAAGATATACAAAAGGCCATAAATCACCTGAAAAGACACTCAGCATCACTAACCATTAGGGAAATAGAAATCAAAGCCACAATGAGATGCCACTCCATACCCATTAGGATGGCTACTATCAAAAAACACAACCTAACAGATGTGGACAAGGATGTAGGGAGCCCTTGAGCACTATTGGTGAGAATGTGAAATGGCACAGCCACCGTGGAAAACGGCAGCGTGGTTCCTCCAAAATTACCAGCGGAATATGGCCCAGCAATCCCACTTCTGGGCACATGCATACCCAAAAGAATGGAAGCAGGGTCTGGAGTCGATATCTGCACCGCCACGGGCACAGCAGTGTTATTCACCTCTCAGCCAAGAAGTGTCTTTGGGAGAGCTTTGCTTAGGCTATGTTCCCGCGGGAGCCCAACTGAGCCCACATCTTCTTTCTTTCCTCCACTGCCAAGGCCCTACAATGTGCATGTCCCATGTACCCACAAAGGTACTTGAGAAAGAAGCTCAGATGGGCCTACTGGACACAGAGAACTCCTCAGTGTGTCCTGTATCTTGCTGGCAGCTGGGGCTTCCCTGACAGTCTCTGCAGTCCCTGGTTTTCTGCTGCCATTAAAGCATCCAACTTCCAGGACCTGCCTCTCGTGAGCTCAGAGCCGTTTCTCCCAGCCTTGGTGGCTGGCAGGAGTGGGGCTGGGAGCAGGTCCGGAGCTGGAACATCTACAGAGGGTGGTGCAGGGCGCAAAAGCAACGTAGCGCAATTCACACGCTCCCCCGCCACCACCCCACATGGAGCCATATGCCCAAGAGACTTTCTAGTCCTGTTGTTTTTTTAGAGCATTGGGAAATTTTTAGCTGCAAATACTGGTAATAAGATTGTCTCAAATAGACAAGTATGCTGTGGGGAATGTAAGTGATGAACGATGGAGAGCCACAAAATAAAATCTGCTAGCCAAACCGAGTTTGCTAGAAGGTTCTTAGCTTGTTCTCGGAGGGAACTCCCATGGGAGGCTGTGTCCTGGGGACAGGGTGGGAGGCCGAAGCCCATCTTTAGCTGTGGTTACGTTTAAGTCGAAGGCCTCAGCACGGCCGAGCTTTCTGAGACCCGGCAGGAGCCTTCTGAGGGCCTCTGGGCAGCATGGGTGCAAGACAGGCAGGCAACAGGAGGACCTGGAGCCGACTCCCCGACATTGGGCACATCCAAAACACCAGGCAGGGGAGACAAGAAAGGAAGCTGAGTGACCACTCCTTACGGCACCTGGGTGCTCAGAACTCAGCATGTGGCCTGTCTGAGGGAATATAAACTGGCAGATGCACAGGGAGGGCCTCCAGGGTATTTATAAAGAACAGAGATTGGGCTCTAGAAGACAAGTGGCCTCAAGAGACAAGCAGCTGAGGTTCCTAGCGCAAGGTGTGCTCAGAATCATGGCCTCTTTGCCTCCTGCCTCCACCCCTTCCACAGCCTGGGAGAGGAAGCAGTGCATTCCCCTGAGTATATGGATGGCTGAGGGCATGGGCAGATGCTGAGCAACCTCTCCTCCTCACCTCCTCCCATAGCGTCCTTGGCCATAGAACTCTTTAGAATCACATTCAAGGCTTCTCAGAGTAGGAGGGGATTCATCACATTCTGATAAAGCCTTTTTTGGGGGGAATGATTACCATGTCAGTATTCTGATGTTCTGATTGGGGTCCCTAAATGCATTGACAAACATAGTAAATGTCTGTGTAGCAACTTCTTTGTTCCTTGGGTTTGAGTGTCAAGGGCACTTGGCCCGGAGTGTGTTCTTGGGCAAGTGACTTGCCTTCTCTGGGCCCACACTTCTACAACTACAAATACTGGTAACAAGACTGACTTCCTGGGGTCATGGTGAGACCAGAAGGGCTCTAGTGTCTGGTACAGAAGAATGATGCCATCATTGTGCATTGGGTAGTGTTGAGACAATAAAAAGTCTTCTCATGCCTTTTTTCCCGAAGGCTTCACACATGCAGGGAGAATGTGGCTCTATAGGGTGGCAGCTGCGGGGCAAGGCAAGTGAGGAGAGCCTGCTAGCAGTGCTGGGTGGGTTGTGAGAACGCTTGTCACAGCAAACACCAAACATTCTGCTTTTGACATTCCGGCAACAGAGCCAACCTGATTCCCTTCAGAGAGAATTCCAGATCTTCCCTGGGACCTGTGCACCCTCCAGTCCCAGGCCCCTGCACCCTCGATTGCCGGCCAGTGGCCCATCCCCCGTAGTCCTGCTCACTCAGCTTGTTAGGCAAACATTTCTTTGCGGTTTGAGGCTTTTATAGCTGCAGGGTTCCATGGGAAATGTCTTAGCTAAAGATGTGCCTCAAGATACCCTGATGTTAGATGCCTTTCCCAACACATTTTCCCCTCGGCGTTGCTATTTTTAAAGCTCAGCAGAACGTTCAGAGGGAGATGCAGAGCTGCAGCAGGCGAGGGAGGGAAAGGCGTGCTCTTGATTTTTTCCGACTGCAGTCCAGCTTTGGGGCTGACCGGCCACCTCCCTTCCTCATGTCTTCTCAGCAGGGACATTTATTAGTGTTTCTAAATAAGTGATGACCTGGCCAGCCAGAAACCTGAGGCAGGAGGGCTCGGACAGGGGGCTGTGGGTGGGGCAGGAACAGAGGAGGGGAGCCCCACCAGGCGCTTCTGTCCTGAGTAAGGCTGAGGAATATCTCATTATTGCAAAAAGGAGAGAAAAGATCTGAAATTGGATGCTTTTAAACAGAGAGGGTTTGGAATCTCTTTTTAGTACCTCTTTTTTTCTTCCTCTTCGCCCATGTATTTTCAGGTGTTCAGATAAACAACTTGGATTTGCACCTGAGTGCTTTGTCTCAAAGGGAGGCCCCTCCCTCCCTGATCCATCTTTCTCAAACCTACTGTTGTCCTGGCACCGCTGCCACAAAGATCACTGGTTTTACCAGAGACCACGCCTTCAAGCAGGAGCCCCCGCCCCACACTCAGTTTCCCTGACAAAGTGGGTCCCATACACAGAGCAATGGCCATGGGATGCGTGGACCAGCAATCAATTGTAAAACAGGAAACAGAGCTTAGTTATCATAATTACTAGCTTGAGGGAGGCACCAAAGCATGGACTTTTGAATAAAATGGGCTAAAATCCCACCTCTGCCCCTGACTAGTTGTGCCATCTTGAACAGGTTATTTCACCTCTCCAAGCCTCAGTTTCTTCATCTGTGAAATGGGGTTAATGTCTATCTCATTCATGTCAGGATTAAATCAAACAGTGTATATTTGGCTTTGGTCTTTCTAGGTCCTAAAGTTGTGCTCTTTCACCGTATGAATCTGCTTTTTGGAATTAAAGATTTTTCCTTTACTCAGATATTCTTTCAGAAAGACCAGGGGCCACACATTGGCCCCTGATGGGCCCAACCTGGCCCCAAGATGTGGGTTTGGGAGGCACTGTGGGCTTTAGAAACCAAATTATATTAGAATTTTAAATTAACGTGGATGGGTTGAACAGATCAGATGCCCTCTGGCTCCACACAGGCCTCATGGCTCGCTAGTCTCTCACCAGTCTGATTTTTAAGCAGTTGGCCCTCAGAGGCCTGGGAGTTTCAACCCCTGATCTAGAAAGTCTCTTTCCTGCACACCACGGGCTATTCCTCTTGAGTTGCACACTCTCTAAGTGACTCAGAGGACCAGGGGGCCACATTTTATAATGAAGCTAGAGTCCAACAGCCCACGGAAGTTTGGGAACATCCCCAGAATGCCAGAGCACTGCACTCCACTTCCCAGGGCCCTTTAGGGAGCCAGTGATTCAATGATTTCAAACTCCTAAAGCAAGAGGGCAACTAAGGCAGAAGAGTGGCAAACTTATTTGCTTATTCATGAAGATTATTCTGGTGTCTTCTGGATGCTTCCTACCCACTAGCTGCAAGCCCACAGGAACCCTCTCCCATACCTAGACAGAGCACAGCTGGAGACCACACCTACCCAAGTTCCCAGGCTAGCCTCACCACTGGCTGACCCCAGGCAAGTCCTCCCACATTATAGGGCTCAGTTCGCTCATCTGCAATATGGGTCTGTCCTTCCTTTGCTACCACTATTCTGTATTACTCCCAGGGATCCCCTTCCTCTACTCTCAGTGGGTGGGGATAATACTACCCTCCTTTCCTGGACAAATAATCTAGGCCTGGACAATCAGTCAGTAAGAATCAGCCCTGAGACTTTTGCTGGAAAGAGGTGCTGTTTTTCCACTGGGGTTGCTCAGATAAACCTGCTGGTGGCCCTCTTGGCCTTCACTGGGGGAAAGCCTGTCTGGGAATGAAGCCAAACCAGGGGAGATGAGAGCTGGGGAGAGACCGATGGAGAATAAGACTTTCGACGCCCTGGATTCAGCCATGTCTGAAGCCTTCAGTTCCATTCACCACGAAATCCCTGCTTTTGCTTAAATCACTTTGACTTGGGTTTCTGTTTCTTGCAACCAAGAGACTTGACTGGTACACACTCAACTTCCATTGTCGGCTCCTTTCATGTTTAGAACACAGCTCAGGCATCATAGCCAACCCACCCTTTTCACCCAAACCTGAAGCCAACCATGTCTCACGCACCACTGTGTGCTCGTCACTTTGCATGGGGCCTCGGTGAAAGGGCAGTAGAGAATGCCAAGGCTGGAGCCAAAACTCTGATTCCCTATGGGGGCAGCCACCCAAGCTACCCCTGGGGTTTCGGAAAGCCTCTCACCTCTGTCTTATTCCGAGAGAGCACGCTGGAGTCGATGGGCCCGAGGGACAAGTTTGGCAGCACAAGGTTGAGCACTTTCGCAGCAAGGACCTAGCGGGGGAGGGAAAACAAGAGCTGTGAGTACAAGTGGCATCCACGCCCGGCTCTTCCGCAGTGACAGTTTACAGTACATTAAAAAGAGTGACGCCCAAACTGAACATCAGCCAGGTTCATCTCCCAAGCCTGCATCCTCAAGCCTGCATGCCCAAGGACTCTCCCTTCTGACTCAGCCTCTATTCAGCCTGGCTCTGCTCCACCTGGGAGAGCTGGCCAGGCAGCCACCACGCCCAAGGCGGGAAGTCACGTCTGAATTTTGCCTGCTCTATACCTCCCCATGATTGCTCATGGGTTGTAATTTTGCATCACTGGCAACAGCTGTCCGGGCTGAGCTCTGGTACCCAGGCCATTTCTCTGGGGTACTGAAAATACACGGCAGGCGCAGAATCACCCAGATCAGCTGAGCACGAAGCAGGACAGCGCGTAAGGGCCCACAGGAACCACACAGAGGATCTGTGCATCCATTTCTCTCAGGGGGCAGTAGAAATAGCACCATCTCGATGAGAAGGCTGTGTGGCAGAGGGAAGGAGAGCTGGGTTTGATTCCTAGCTCTGCTGACTCGTGAACATGGGCTGGAATCTCCACACCGCTGAGCCTCCATTTCCTCAGCTGCCAGTGGGACCTTGACCCTCCCCCAGAGGACCACGGGGAAGGTGAATAACACCCTGTGTGCAGAAGCCCAGGGAACACAGCAGGAGCTTAATACATGCTCACTGAACTTGAGCCTGATTCAGGCCCAAACCTTCCCACCCCCTCCCCCTTTTCTCCTTCTGGATCTCTTGTTTTCCCAGGAAAACAGAGAACCCAGATCTCACACTTCTGCCTTCAGAGAGGGACAGTTTTCATTTCTGCAATGTGCACAGACATTTGGGGATGAAAGATGCTATTTCAAAAGTGAGCCGTGAAATGCTGAAATTAGAATCGGACGGAAGGTGGCAAGCAGTGAATTCTCAGTGCACATCAAGGGCACAGGGCCCACGCTCAGTACCCTTGGCAGAGGGCAAGGGCACTCATGGGCACCGAGGAAGCACCTTCTGGTGCATTGGGCACAGTTTCCCGATTTTTTTCTTTTTTTGAGACATAGTCTTGCTCTGTTGCCCAGGCTGGAGTGCAATGGCACAATCTCGGCTCACTGCAACCTTTACCTCCTCAGTTCAAGTGATTCTCCTGCCTCAGTCACCTGAGTAGCTGGGATTAAAGGCACGCGCCACCACCCCTAGCTAATTTTTGCATTTTTAGTAGAGACGGGGTTTCACCATGTTGGTCAGGCTGGTTTCAAACTCCCGACGTTGTGATCTGCCCGCCTCGGCCTCCCAAAATGCTGGGATTATAGGAGTGAGCCACGGTGCCCGGCCAGTCTCCCGATCTTTATAAAAACCCTGGGAGGTGAGGCTTCATCTCCACTGAACAGGTAAGAAAATGGAGGCTCAGTACCACAAGGTCCATGGGAGGGGCCCCGGGCTGGGGGGCCACTTTATGTTCTTATGCCACATGGCCTGGATTACTCTGTCTCTGTCGCTGTCTGTGTCTCTCTCCACAAATGTGACCCAGAGCTCTAACCTTCCCGTGGGTCTCAACATCAGCGGCCGCTGATGTTCTTTTGGGGGACAAGATTGCTGTGCTTGCCCACCCTTCCTGTAGGCCAGGGCTAAACGTTCCTGTGTCCTTGGCCTGTACAAGTGCGGTGTGACCGCCCACCACAATTGTTTCTCAACCATCCAGTATCAGGCAGACAGCAAAAAATGGGCTTTTCTCCTAAAGGGCTTTGCTCCACATGCATGAACCTATTCAGAGTTCCATGCGGTCAACTCCCCTTTTCTCAAATGGTGGAAATCAGTAATTCCTTCTTAGTGCAAAGGTGGCAGCCCCCTGCCTCTGAGGAGGAAGCTCACTGCCCTCCAGCCTTGGCATCCAGGCGAGCAGATCTCATTCTGCAGCTGCCACTGTGCCACGTGCTTTGCTGAGCCCTGGGGTCTGACTTTGACCGTCTAGTGTAGAAGCATGTGGCAGCCTGACTTCGAGCACTGTGCAGGGGCATGGTGTGTCTGCACAATCAGAAGCCTTGCAGCGTGGCCATGATGGGTCGGGAACATTCAAGAGTCCAGCTGGTGTCATGGGCCAGCTCCAAGAACAAGCCTGGGAAAGGAAAACTTGGAATTCTGGGAACTCTGCACAAGGATTAGGGTATTTTCAAACACGGATCAAATGTCTGTGAACTCCAAGAATTGGGAGCTCATCTGCATTGGGATCTGTGCTTTCAAAGGTTGAAACAATCTAAAAATGAGAAAATGGAGTGGATCAGTGCATAAAGGCAGTGGGCTGTGGCTCTGTGGCCTTCACTAGACTCTGGCTGTGTAAGGACGAGTGTTCCAGGGCCTCAGCTCTCTCCTCCAGCAGTAGTGATCAAGGGCCACACTGTGAGGGAAGACTTTTGTGTTCCACAGTTATGACGAACTCACTTCTAGATATTCTGCTGTTCTCAGTACCCCATCACTTCTGCCTGACACTGACAGTGTGTGTGTGCATGAAACACCACAAACACCTCCTCCCAGTGCTGCCCTGAGAGACTCTGATTGTATCGGCTGAAGTGGGGCCCTGGCATCAGTGCCTTTTAACAATTCCCTAGTGAATCTGTGTGCAGCCAGGGCAGACGTGGGGCTGCCAGCTGTGGGGGGATCCCCGCCATGCTCAGGGACTGCAGCAAGGCTCTGTGTGACAGGATGGTGTGCAAATGCCAGGTTTGCAGGCGCTGCTCCCAGGTCAGCCCACCTGCCTGCTGGGGCCTGCACAGCCTTCTCAGGGACATGGCTGTTTTATGTAAGCCAGCTTCCTACCCATTCCCTGACCAGGTGGCTCAGAGCCAAGAAAAGGCCCAGGGACCCAGCACCTCAGCAGTGCCTGCCACAGAGGTGAAAGCAAGAGACCACCCAGCATCCACGCCATTTCGTTCAAGCCCACCACCAGATTTCTCATTGTGCCACCATTTGTGTTTTGGGGACCCATCACCTGATTCTGCGGGGACCTGGGCCCGGAGGTGCCGGTCCATTTTCAAGATCGGTCATTTGTGAAGACAGACTTACCTTCATCCTTGAACATATGTTTCTGCAGCTGGCACCTTTTAACCCAAAAGTTTTATACCAAAAAGCAACAAGGCCTCTACTTCCAGGCTCTGGAGAAGATGCTGACAGCTTAGGATCAGCGCCTCAGGGATCAGCACAGCTTGAGCCATCCCTGAAGTGGTTTCACAGGGGATGGGGAAGGGGGAACAGAGAGCCAGAGAGAGCCTGCCTCCAGGAGAGAATTACAGCAAGCCCTATTCTGTCCTCTCACCCAGCAAGCCTGATTTTCTTCCTCCATGAACAGAGGAACTTTTGCAGTTAAAGGAAGCTTTTAAGAAAAGAGCTTCATAGGAAAAATAAAAGAGGAGAGCCACTTCCTGAGATGTATTTGCTTTAGAAAATGAACAATGCAAGGGGCTGCTCCCTGGAGGGAAGGAAGTGATTCCTGGCAGCGGAATGCCTCACCATCCCCTTCCAGGTACAAAAAGCCAAGGCCCGGGGGCCTCCCCCTCCTAGAGCTGTGAATGATCTATTGCTGAAAGCGCAAACAGGAGATGTGGGGAGATCACATCCTGCTCAGGAGTGGAGGCAGAAGGTGACTTCCGCTGCATGCATCCAGCTGAGCGCTGGCTGCCCAAGGACTGATGGGGCAAGCAGCCACCTTGCTCCCCTAAAGGAGCTGCTGCCAGCAGGTTCAGGATGAGGGAATGCGCCTAAAAGGACAAGCTTGTAACAGTGAAACTCCTGTGGCTGATAGTGTAGATGAGGCACTGGTGTCCTAGTGATAATAACAGGTTGTTCTATCACGAATGTAGATGGAGGAACACGCCCTCCAGGAACGCCTGGTGCAGATTCTGCAGACTTTTCCCAGTGAATGCGCACACAGGCGTGTCCTGGCACTAAATCCCTAGGAATGCCACCCCAAGAACAGAAAGATCTCAGTGCATAGATGGCTGCTGAAGCCCTGGGTGCAAATTACACCAGAGAGAGTGTACAAAGAGGCAGGAGGGGACCCAGCTGGATATACCATTCACAGGAAAGGTACAGAAAGAGAAACCCATGAAGGAGACTTCTAGAGTCCTGGGATTCCCTTAAAACGATCTGTAATTCCCTGTCTTCCCAGGAAGATGGAACCGTCTGTACTGTTCTGTTCCTTCAATCCAGTTGGCGTATGGCAGCGGGCACAGCACACCCATCCCAACATCCCAGGGCCTCCCTGCTCAGTGTGGTCCTCACACCAGCAGCACCAGTGGCTCCAGGGTCACCTGGCTTCTGGGTCAGGGTCTGTAGCTTTGCAGGGCTCCTGGGCATTCGTGTGCGTGGTGAAGTTTCAGGGGCTGGCAGTGTGTGTGTCCATGAAACACCACAAACACCTCCTCCCAGTGCCGCCCTGAGAGACTCTGATTGTATTGGCCGAAGTGGGGACCTGGCATCAGTGCCTTTTTAAAGTTCCCTAGTGATCCTGTGTGCAGCCAGAGCAGAAGTGCTTCTGACAGGCACTGGCTAGGATGGGGGTGCACACGTTCATGCAGGGCAAGCTGCCCTTTCAAAGGAGCCACCATAAGAGATGTTTGCATGCCCTGACCTTCAGCTCTTTTTCTAAAATTGCATAGTAAGTTCCAAGCCACATTTCCAACAAGACTCAATTGTGTAGAGGCAAAACTTTTAATGATAACTTCATGGCTTAAAAAAAAATTAAGTGTTTAGCCTCTTCCCCACAAAAGCCCCAAGAAAGAGGAGAGCTGCCACTCAGGGGCAGGATGCTTTGAACAACCGCAAAAGAGATCCCCTTTCCCTGCTGCTCGTTTAATATTTGTTGACTTCATGAGCCTAATCTCTCTTGAAGGAGGAAAGGGTAGGATGGGAGTAGAAAGAGCTAAGCAGAGGAAGTGGATTGATTGTGCACGAAAGAAGGCAGAACGGTTGAGCAGGGGA